TCAAGAATATGAGGCCATCTTGGCGGCAACCGGAGTTTACAAGGGCCGGGTGCCGCTTATGGGTTCTGAAGGCGTACGGATCCTAGAGAAGGCCAAAGGAGCTAGCTCATCTTCTCATTCGGCATATGATGATCGGGTTACCCGCCTCGAGAAACTATTGGAGGAACGTGAAGCCGAGGCTCGAAGGCGGGATGAAGAAGCTCGGATACGGGATGAAGAGCAAAGAAGAACAAGAGAAAGGTTGGAAGAGATGGAACGCCAAATGCGTATTTTCAACGCCACCTACCGTCCATCCATGCACATACAGCACCCCGAGATGACCCCACAAGTTCCCTTCGCGGGCAATATGGGCAATATGGGCAGTATGGGGAGTAGGGGTTTTGCTAATTATAGCCATATCTCCAACAACTTTCCATATGGATATTATGATGATATCCCGACTCCCGGAGCTCAAGCTTACCGTGGCAGCAGCCGTGCTGGCAGCCGCAGTGGCAGTCGAGGCAGCCATCGTGGTGGCAGCCGTGGCCACGGAAGGCAACCCGATCATCGTGACGAACCTGATGATGCTGATGCTGATGCTGATTATGATGACCATTGATGGTTTGTAATAATTAGTTTATTAACATTTTAAGGATTTTTAAATTTTGATGTGTTAATGTATGAATATTAATTATTTGTGTTTTATAATGATGATTTGATTAGATTATTATTTATTATGATACCTAATGTTTAATGGTGATTAATGATGATTGTTTAATTATTTATTATAAACAATTATTTATTAAGATTATTGTTTAACTATTTATTAAAAACAATGCTTATTAAGTTTAAATTTTTGAAAAAGAACCTAAATTTTAATGGTTATTATTTATTAAATAAACTTTTGAAATAAACATTCAAAAAATTAATGCGCTGAATTTTTAATTTTTTTTTAAAAAAAATTTAAACTTTTGTCACGGACTGTTCCGTGACAAAATATAAATTCATTTTATTATAAATACATAAAACGCTGAAAATAACGTATTTTTTTTTAAAAAAAATGTTTTGTCACGGATGGGATCCGTGACAAATTCAAAATTTTGAATTTTTTTTGAAAATTTTAAAGCACCCGCCCACTCTATTTTAAAATTTTCAAATTTTTTTCAAAATGTTTTGTCACGGATATTTTCATGACAAAATTTAAAATTTGAAATTTCCGGATCGTTTCAAATACCCGCCCACTCTATTTCGAAAAACCTTTTTTTAAATTTGTCACGGAAATTTCCGTGACAAATAATTATTTTTTTTGAAAAATAAAAAAAATTATTCACGGATGCGTCCGTGACAAATGAAAGACGATGGGGTTCCGGTGAAGTGTTTTGTCACGGACGGTGGCCGTGACAAATCCGTGACAAACAGTCTCACGGATTAATTTCCGTGACAAAAACGTTATCACGCCCCTGGTGTCACGGATTTTTTTCGTGACAAATCCGTGACAAAAAATCATTTGTCACGGATTTTTTCCGTGACAAATCCGTGACAAAAAATCATTTGTCACGGATTTTTTGAACTACCGTCCGTGACAAAATCCATGACAAACGGCGTGTTTTTTTTGTAGTGCAGTGCACTGTGCACCTAGTATCAATAATTGATTAACGTCAAATCATCTGACACAACATAATCCGATACAAATATTCATGCATGCTAATTACCATCTTCGTCCCGTCAAAAAGTTCGCATGACAAAATGATACGGTTAGTTAAATAATAATTAAATAAGATTATTCGAGTATATTATGAGAAATAATTTTAATAGGTATATAATCAGTGGCGTATCCAAGATTTGTTGTGAGTGGGGGCGAGTTAATAGTACTATCTCCGTCCTTTAAAATTCTTTTCACTTATTTTTGCGAGGTCCCAAAAAACTCTTTTTTCATTTCCATTTTTTAAAATAATTGTTTGGCAAACATTCGTTTACCTACTCAATCATAATCTTACATTTACATTTTATGCTCACTTTCTTAAACTTCGATCCAAGTCAAGCCGAGAAAAAATTTATAAGACGGAGGGAGTATATATTATTTCATGCATGTCACAAGCAACTTAACATTTTAAGAAACACCGTACAAAATTCATTATAAATAAAAACTAACCGGTCAACTAAAAAATATGAAATCATGCCAAATAAATTTGACACAAAATTCATTTTTAAATGTTACGTTAAAAATCAATAATTTGAATATGTATTTAGAATATGTAAATTGTGAATGCAGAATTATATCTAAATATGAATTTGTGTTAAGTGTAAAATGTAATGAAGTATATTTTAAGTCTAAAAATGTAATGAAGTATAGATTAAAACTAAAAATGTATGTATATATTGAGTGACTTTAAATTTGATTAATACCTAAAAAAGAAAATAAAGAAGATAATGCGTGAAAAAATAAAGTTCGGAACAAAAAATTGGAGGAAGGATTTGAACCTTCAATCTAACGGAGAAACATAGACTACCCTTTAGATATGCATATATATAGGGGTTGGGTGGGGGTTGAGTGGGGGCAGCTACCCCCTACCCCCACCCTGGATACGCCATTGTATATAATATAATGTGGTTAGTGTTGATAGCTGTGGTGTTATAAATGTACTATTTTTTATATTTAATGATTAATTTATTATTTAAGAATTTTATTGTTTCTTAAAATGAAAATCGAAACTCCTATATGGGACGTTAAAAAATGAAATTGAGAATTTTTCTATGGAACGGAAGGGAGAGAGTATTAATTAATCTGGATTGCGACATGACCGACATTTTATAAGAAGTATATACACGGTTTAAACTTGAAGTAATGAATTGTTAATTACAGTTTACACTTTCGGGGTGTATTCTTACAGGGTGAATGGGTGATAATAACATAACTGCCGACAAAATTAGTTGTGCTTTTTTGACTTCTTGTATGGAATAAATAAATATTTCACATCTGGAAGTAGCAAATGAAAAAGGCTTTCACATATGTATACAACATGTACTCGTATATAGTTAAATTAAATGTACAAATACTTTTGTTAGCACTTGTAATTTTACACATGATGAGACGGTTTGGCAACACTGTTTTTCGGCTTATCAGACTTATCAGCCAACTTTTTCACCAAACACGCAGTTTTTGCTTTGGCGCGTTAAATTGTGTAATAAGCAAAAAAAAAAAGGTTGGAGTTACTTTTGTGGCTGTATTAGCTGAAGTTACTGTAGATGACCATTTTAGTTATTTTTACATATAACTTTCACTTTATTTTATTAATAAAATATATTTTAATTTTTTTTTTCTTAAATCAGCGGAATCAGCCAATGCAGCCACTTCATCCAGAATTTCATAAATTTCAACAGAATCAACCAAATCAGCCGATTCTCGTGCTACCAAACGGGCTCGATATGTATTGAAACGAATGGGAGCCAAATGGTAATGATCATTATGTATTCGTAGTTTTGAATCAAAGCTGTAAAAATTCAACAGGTCATGTAACTTTAGTCACTTACAAATTCGGTCCTCTAACTAATTAATATTTGCGATTTAAGGACTTTTCCCCTGAAAAGTACACTTTCCGTCAATAGCATATCGGAAAAGTTGTCGCCGGCGTCGAACTTTTTCGCCGGAAAGTGTACTTTCCGGTGGGAAAGTCCTTAAATTACAAAGATTTATTAGTTACAGGACCAAATTTGCTAGTGCTTAATGTTACAAGACCAAAAACGATAACAGTCGAAAGTTACAGGACTAAAATTGCAAATCTCCCGATTCTAATCCAAATACATACCGAAATCCTATGCATTTGTATAGTAACCTCCTCTCATTGAAGCTATGGATTCAATATACGAGATTTATCCTTTGGTGACATCCACCCGTTGAACAGACCTATTATACCTTCCCCTTTTCTATATCAAGGAAATGGATACTCATAGCATTTGGCACATCGACCTAGTATTTATCAAGCCGAGCTAAACATAAATATCACATGAGATGGTGAGAATAAAGCGAGTCTAAAAGCCCGTTTGGTAACGCTGAAATTTGATGAATTAGCTGAATCTGCTGAAATTGATAAAAATCTGGATGAAATGGTTAAATTAACTGAATTTACCAAGTTATTGAAAATTATGTTTAAAATATATTTTGTTAATAAATGAAGAAAAAGTTATATGGATAGTAGTTAAAATCACCATCTACAGTAATTTCGATCAATTTTTGCTAGAAAACTAACTCCAACATTCTAACGCGTAAAATAAAAAATTATGTGTTAAAGTAGAAAAAGTTGATTGACAAGATTCATAAAATTTTAATGAGAAGAAGGCAAATGAAAAAGTCATACTACACTCATATAGATGAATAGATGATGATGATGATGAGTTAAAAGTCCATAACATTTCATTGTTTTATAATTGTATAATTCTATAAGAATGAATGAAATTTCAATATACTTGAAAATTTTAATGACTTTTAAAAGTTTGTAATCTATATTCAACACTAACCTCTAAGATACATCAACTTTTAAATTTTTCCCACTAATTTCATCATATACAATGCACTGGCTTTAGTCTCCCTCGAGTTCCCCTCATTCAGTTCTGGAGTTCAGAATTGATCTTGAGCACAACTTTTCTCATGTTCAAATCGATCTCACGAGTCGCATCTAGATTGCAATGTAAGCCTTAAGTATACACTAATCACGAGTCCAAATGCTGTTTTCTAGTATAGCCTAGGTCTGCCCGTTTATGAACCCGACTACCCGAGTACAAAACAAATCTTGACTCGTTTACTTAAATAAGTGAGCCAAACTCAACTACTCAAGGCTAAAGGAAGTGAGTTGACTTCAGAGTCACTCTTTTCATGTAAAAACTCTACTGGTGCGCACACAAGAAAAAATACTACGACTTCTTATGTCATCCGTCTCAAGATTGAGTAATTAAAATTGACCCATTCGTCACCTGCATTTTTGTTACACACTCACAGTTCCACTCCGCCATCTATAACACCAAGATAATACGAAGTTTGAAGCATCATATAATCCGAATCCACATTCATAAACATACGCTAAAAAAGTAGAAATATATCCACACACAAATCAAAACTCCCATTAACAAACCAAAAATCAAAGACCTGCAGGGTTTGCGAGTTGCAATTTTTTTGATTTTATAATTAAAAACCTGTATGAAATGCATATGTTCTTTATATGGTAGCTAAACTCAAACTAGATTTTGATTTTCAATCAAAATCTGATTTCAAAAAAGCAAAAATTTGCAACACGCAACACCGCACCAGGGCCAAAAGAGCACGAAATTCAAAGCGAAATGAAGCTCAACTTTACAAGACATCACAAACTAAAAGCACTAGAACTATTTACATTTTGAATTTGTTTTTCTATCTGGTCTTTCTTTGTTTTCTACTACCCACTTTCTTCCCTGGCATAGTCCGGTGAGGGCGCCGTCTCAAACTGAAAGAGCAGAGGTTCCTAGAGCGGTGGCGCTTGCTGATCTCGGCTGCCGTAGAAGCTGAAGCAGTGTCTCCGCCTGTGCACAGATTAAGCCATAAAACAACACAATAATGGCACTTCCAGTCATTGATGTACTTGTAGCATAATTCGTGCATACTAGTCGAAATAAATTATTGTACTACTTTTTTTTTTAATAAGGGAGGGAATTATTATTAAGGAGTACATAAATTATTGTACTAAATACAAATCATGAATCATGATTAACTTTAATTGCTTGAACCTTTTGTTTGGCGCGACTGGTACCGGATTGAGACAGAGCAACCAAGGGAGGAATCGCACCCTCGCGGGCCACCATGGTCCGGTATGGCACGCTGTCCTCACAAAGTTGAAGCAGTATCGACACAGCAATCTCTTTCTGTCTGTGTGACCCTACCTCTACGATCTCCACCACCACTGGTATCCCGCCTTCCTCCACCAGCGCCGCCCTCGCCTCCGCCACCGACGCCAGTACGTTCACAACGAATCCCGACTTATCAACCATGTTTGAGCTGAAATCCGCCATTAATTCAACCAAAGGCTTCATAATCCCCGCTTCCACTGCTCTAATTTTGTTTTCTTTTACTGAACATATCGAGTATAGAGCCGTCGATGCGTCCTTTTTGCCTCGTAAATTTCCGCTCTCTAACAGGTCCACTAGCGGCGGAATAGCGCCGGACCTTCCGATAGCAATTTTGTTCTCCTCAACTTGCGAGAGACGGAGAAGAGCGCATGCGGCGTTCTCTCGGGCGACGGATGTGCCGATTTTAAGAGCTCGAACAAGCGGCTTGATTGCTCCTGAAGCGGCGATGAGCTGCTTGTTCTCGTCACAGAGCGAGAGATTGAGGATTGTGGTTACGCCGTATTCCAGAAGCTGAGGATCGGGGGAAGAAATTAGCGATATAAGGCGTTTGATTGCGCCGGCTCTGGCGATTTTGATTCTGTTCTCCGGCTTATTCTTAGCCAGAAGACGGAGTTCCATTGCGGCTTGCTTTTGCTCGTCGATTGAGCTCGAATCCAGATCGGTGACGAGTTGATGGATCAATTCGTCGGAGTTATCAGCGGCGCAAGCCAGCAGTAGACGGCGGCTCTGCGAAGAAGCCGTCGGGAACTCACCAGATCTATCGCTGTCGCAGTCACTGAAAGCGGAGGATTTGTCGTTCATGCTGAGATCTCCGAAGCTTCGTCCCATGTAGCTGTAATTCGATTGAACTTCCGTTTCCATTGCCGGAGAAGTAGCTCTACTTCTTCCACCGGAGGTTCAGGTTGTTTCAATTCGAATTTATCCGGCGAAATAAATCAGCCGGGAAGGAAATGGTAAAACAATATCAGCTTAGAAGCTCTTATAGACGGGAGAGAGAGTCCACCGCGCAGCCGGTTGGAAAGGAATATGAAGGTGAAGAAATAGTGTAAGCAGAGATAGAGGGATAGACAAAGCACCTGGATTAGATCATTTGGGGAGGAAGGACACGTGCGCGCCCATACCCGAACCCCAACCGGGTAGCACGTGGGAAGGTTTACCATTCCTATTTTGTTTGATAATTTAGGTGTTGGAGACAGGAGTTTACACTCTAACTACTCTAAAACTCCTACACATAGTCCAATTTATATCCTCTCAATGTACCGTCCGATCGGGGTTGGAGGTTCTCAGGGATGTGGTGTCATCCTTTTTGTTTTTCTAAAATTCATAGACAGATAAATCGAGATATGATCACAGTCAATTTTGTCGGCATTGGCTTCAATGATGAATCCTGCAAGTAATCGCGCATTCCAATCCAGTTGGTTGTGAAGTTACCGTATCTAGTGGTAGGTCTCGAGTTCGAAACCCGCTAGACATATAAGGATTTGAAACTCAATGAAGTAAGTTTCAGCTCTGATTACTCCAGGCCCCCTCCCCCAGACCCCCCGGAGTAGAAAAAATGAATCTTGCAAGCACTTAAATCATCTGCCCCTTCCAAGCTGCTTCACCCACAACACAAACTCGCTGCCTTTATTATCATCTCATCTTGATTCTCTTCTCAGCCGTTGAGCTACTCCGTGAAGGTAAGAGAATCATGGAAAGCAATACCTCCTTCGTCTCTCCTAGGTGAAAGTTCAATCCAAGACATCTCACAAAGGAGAGACTATGGACTAGATGGCTATCCAATGGACTACACCCACCTTCACAATGTTTACTATTCCTGTACTTGAACTTCCTCACTCCCGATATGGGGCGTTTTAAACATTTAACGGTTAACAAATAGTAGATTATGTTAGGGACTTGTACAAATATATTGCATATAATTAATTATTACACAAGCCAATATTCTATTTTGTTGTACATATTTATTTTCCTTTTTGCTCTCCTATCTTTCCATATAGCATTTACGGCATAAAGGTTTTATAACTAGGTAATTACCTTATTTTGCTTTTTCTAGGATTGTATAAAAAGGAGACCCATGCGACAATACAGAGTAGAAGAGTAATTTCTCTTTTTTCCATTATTATTGATAATTCGTATACCCTTTATTATGGTATCAGAGAGTGATTTAGCTCATACCTACGACCTTGACGATTGATGACGATGGTGAACCCACAAATGACGGCTGGGCAAAGGGATGAACAATGGAGAATCAATGACCTTTCCTCGCCATATTATTTGTATAACTTGGATATACAAGGGATTGATGCTTCGGGGAGAATTAAACTACCTTGAATGATCAGTGGCCATGTAGAATGCTTTTCGAACGAAACATAAACTCGGATTTCTTGACGGATCAATCAACATTCTGGAAGATAGAGATGGGATTGAAGATTGGTATACCATAAACTCGATGCTAGTGGGATGACTGATCACCTCGATTGATTCAACGCTGCAGCCAACTATTGCCTACATGTAGGGATGGACCCGGGCCGGGCCGGTTCCGGTTCCGGGCCGGGCCCGGGCGGGCTTTTTTCGCAAATTCATGGGCCCGGAACCGGCCCGGGTTGATACCGGGTCCGGGCCCGGTTCGATGTCTAGTTTTTCTTTTTTTCCTTTCTTGTTATCCCCCGACCCCCCCCCCTCACCCCCACCCCCCAAACCTCCCCAAAACACCCAACCCTAGCCTAGGAAAAGAAAAAAAAATTGAAAAAAAAAGACCCGGGCCCGGCCCGAACCGCCCGGGCTTGTTCGCCCAAAACTGGGCCCGAGCCCGGCCCGGCCGATCCGCCCAAACGGGCTAAAAGCCCGGAACCGGCCAACCGGTCCGAGTCCAAACAGTACAGGGCCGGTTCGGTTCCGGGCCGGTTCGGTTTCGGGCCGGTTCGGCCCGGCCCAGTCCATCCCTACCTACATGGATTCAGTCCAAGATTTGTGGGAGGAATTGAAACTGCGGTTTGAAGCCGCCGATGGGATGCACTTCCATGAAATGAAGCAAGCCTTACAAAACTGCAAACAAGCGGATGAAACTATGACCGCTTACTTTTGACGTCTGAAGATCATATGGGATGATTATGATGAATATAAAAAAATCCCAAAATGTACCTGTGGTGGGTGTTCTTGTAACATCGATGATGGAGTATATGGGTCCAGACCCCATGACCCACATACTTCCACTACTACGAACAGACCCAACAAGCCCTAGTGGCCCAGAGACCTCGGGGACGTACGTCCTCTAGCACATAACAGTCACCCGGGGACGAATGACCTCCAGTACACGGGTAGAACCCGGGGACGTACGTCCTCCAGCACGTAATAGTCACCCAGGGACGAACGGTCTCTAGTACGTGGGAAGACCCCAGGGACGTACGACCTTCAGCAAGTAACGGTCGCTCGGAGACGTACGGCCTCCAGCACGTAACAGTCACCCGGGGACGAACGGCCTTCAGCACTCCGTCAGTCAGACGTACATCTCCAAGGGCTTCGTCTGCCACAACCAGAGGTACGTCATCCAGGACTTCGTCTGCCACAGCCAGACGTACGTCTTCAAGGACTTCGTCTGCCACATCCAGACGTACGTCTTCAAGGACTTCGTTTGCCACAGCCAGACGTACATCTTAGAGGACTTCGTCTGCCACAGCCAGACGTACGTCTCAAAGGACTTCGTCTGCCACAGCCATACGTACGTCTCCAAGGACTTCGTCTGCCACAGCAAGACGTACGTCTCCAATGACTTCGTCTGCCACAGCCAGACGTACATCTTCAAGGACTTCGTCTGCCACAGCCAGATGTACGTCTCTAAGGACTTCGTCTGGCACAGCCATACGTACGTCACCAAGGACTTCGTCTGCCACAGCCAGACGTACGTCTCAAAGGACTTCGTCTGTCACAGCCATACGTACGTCTCCAAGGACTTCGTCTGCCACAGCAAGACGTACGTCTCCAAGGACTTCGTCTACCACAGCCAGACGTACGTCTCCAAGAACTTCATCTGCCACACACCCGTGGATTTGGGAGCCCAACCCATATTTTTCCTATAAATGGAAACTCATTTAATACAAATCACTTCTCTCTCTAGCTCTCACTTCTCTCTAGACATATAGTCTATGAATTGAAAACAGTTTTTGGAAAACGTAGAAAAGGAGAAGATACGTTAGTTTCTCCTTGGATTGGATGGTGCTATATATGGAAGTTTGCGGTCAAACATTCTGAGTAGGACAGAGCTTCCAACACCGAGTGCGTGTATCATATGATGATAAAGGAAGAGAGGCATCAGAAGGTCACACAAGCACATGACATGAGGGGTGAAGCTGCTGTTTTCGATGCCCGATCATGATGACAATGGACTCCATCACCTGCAAAAGACAAATGGAAGTTATTTTGTTGCTATTGCAAGAAGGAGGAGCATGAACGAGACCGGTGCTTCAATCTTACTGGACAGTAACCGGATTGGAGGTAAGCGAATAAAACTGGACAAGGAAAAAGAGCGGATTGGGGGCTCTCGCAGGGAGAATTTTTGCAGGGGGGCTGGTACACAAGAAAATGCAGTGGACAGATATGCCTTCAAGGAAATTAAACCACCGCCTGAATCCAAATAGTTTCCTACCCTTTCGACATAATAGTGGAAATCTTTTTTGGAATTTATGAAAAAAATCTAAACAAGTGATGGTGTTGAAAAATTAGCAGGTATAATGTGTGTGAACTGGCTTCTTGACACATGGCTTTGTATCATATGACGGGTGATAAAAATGTTATGTTTGATATTACTCCTATGACGTCCATCCCCGTAACTCTTCCCAATGGAAATATTACTTATTGCTAGCCATATTGAACGAGTGGTGATAAGACCAGGAGTAACTCTTGAAAGAGTACTTTTAGTGCCCAACATGAAATGTCACTTGATTTCTATTGGTCTCCTTATTGATGATTTACCGTGTCACATTATTTTTACTAACAAATTTTGTGTGATACAAGACCTCACCTTGAAGATGCTGATTGGAGTAGGTGAACGTCGTGGCACTGTCTATAATTTGTGTGGAGCTGAATATGTGCAAGCTTCATCCCAGGTGGCACATGAGATTTATGACATCGAAGAATGGGCCATCCCTCATCCCGGGTGATACAATTGCTTTCTGTTAGTCAAAATAAATTTGGTGTTTGTAGTTAAACAGACACTTGAAATATTATCTCCTAGTTTAAATCGTGACCTGCGTATTTTTGAACTTTTTCATTGTGATGCATGGGGTTCGTCCGGGAACCAAGTACTTGTGGTGCATAATATTTCTTGACTACTGTGGATGATTATTCATGTGTTATTTGGGTTCATCTGATGAGTGCAAAAATGGAGGTTCTAGCTATTATGAACCGTTTTCTTTCAATGGTCAATACTCAATTGAATACATATGTTGAAATTGTGAGAGTTGATAATCGAACGGAATATTCTCCACTAGGAGATTTTTTTTCTGAATCAAGGGACTTCACAACAAAATGGTCACGTTGAACCAAAGCACCGCCTTATTTTAATTGTGGATCGAGCCTTACAATTTCAGGTCAATCTTCCTATTCGTTTTTGGGGGAGTTTATTTCATTAACGGACACCTTCCATGATTAATGGTGAAAAAACTCATTTTGAATGTTGGTATGGTAATTGGTAAGGTGCCTTCTTATGAACACATCAAAAAAATTGATCACCTATGCTATGTTCATTCTAAAAATAGTACTCCCTCCGTCCCAATTTGATTTGCAAAAATTCCTATTTTGGTTGTCCTAAAATGATTTTCCACTTTCTATTTTAGGTATGTAAATAAGAATAAAGTGACAAATTACCCTTACTTTTACTTTTTTCCCATTAACTTAAAGACATCTACTTTTAGAAAGATGGGCAAAAATGTAAAAAACAAACATCATTTATTGTCATTCCTTAATCCTTATGCCGGTCAAAGTTTACAATTCAATTCGGGAATGAGAGAATAACAAGTTTGAAACACGTAGTCAAAAATGTGTTTTC